ACCTTTTCTGTCCAGTGCCCAGCTCCCAGAATCCCATCTGTCTTCCAGACCAAAGCTCCCACCAACTACTGTGTCTGCAGGACCATGGCTCCCAGAATTCCCTCTGTCTTCTGGACTGAAGCTCCCATCCAAACCCCTGTATCCCCAGGATCATGGCTCTGAGCAACTTTTTAAATTTTGTTTTGTTTTTGGTTTTGCTTTTTGTAGTTCAGGCTGGCCTTGGCCTTGAACTCACTATGTAGCCCAGGCTGCCCTCGAACTTGTGATGGTCCTCCTGCCTCAGCCTCCTGAGTGTTGGGATTACAGGTGTGCACCACCACTCTGAGCAGCTTCTTTCCTTTGCTGTTCTTAGCATACTAGCTGTTGTAGTGCACCTTCCAGGGCTCACATTCTGTGACTCAGGCCAGGTAAGAGAGAATTACTTGACCTGCATTTGGGATATCGGTTCAGAGCTGTATTAGTTCATTTTCTGTTGCCAGTAATACAATGTCACAGACTGTGTGAGTTGTAAAGAAAGAGGTTTATTTTGCCAAGGTCAGTGGGCCCCATCTGGTGATGGCCTTCTTGTTGGCAGAGTCCCCAGGTGGCACAGAACATCATGTGGCAAGAGACAGGGAACACACGTGACTCTTCTGGTCTCTCTCTCTCTCTTCTTATAAAGTCACCAGGATTCCATCATGGAGACTCCACCCCAATGACTATCTAATATCTAATCCTAATGGACCCCAAGGGCCTGGCCTCTAAACACAATAGCTGGATTATAATACTTCATGATGGGGGTTGAATTTCAGCACATGAAGCCTTGGGAGACACCCCTGACTCACTCATATTCAAGCCATAAGCAAGGGGGTACCTACGTTTGTCCTTTCCCACAGGAACCAAGAGGCCACCTCACTCGGGGTTCTAATGCACATCTCCTGCCCGCACTGTGAGACACCCTGGGAGATGTGAGTTTGATTCTCATCTGTTATCTTTGGGACCTCTCATCTCTTCCATTGGAGGACACCAGGACAGTGCTGGTCCTGTCCCCATCATACCCCAGAGCAGTCTGCCCATTAGAGTTTTAGTGCACATGACAGCAAGTCCTACTCAGCTAGCTCAGAGAAAAAGAACTATTCACATGCCAAAGTCCTGGGTGTGGTAGCTGGCTGGCTTCAGCGAAATCTGTCCATCTCTCAGTCCCAAGGGTGGCTGATCCCCTTGTGTTACAAGATGCCTGGCAGACATCCCTGGGGCCAGGGTCCACACGTGACTCCTCAGGGCACAGAAAAAGACAGGCAAATTAACCAAAAGAGCTAGACTAAGGGTGAGGAGTGGTGGCTCAAGCCCGTAATCCCAGCACCTGGGAGGCTGAAGCAGGAGGATTACAATTTCCAGCCCAGCTTGGGCAAATTGGTGACTTAGTGAGACCCTGTATCAAAATAAAGCATAAAAATGGCTGGAGTGGGGTGGGGATTTAGGTCAGTGGTTTTGCCACCTGCTGAGCAAGCGCAAGGACCCAAGTTCGATCCCCGGTACCAAAAAGAAAAAAAAATGGCTGGAGGGTATCTCAGTGAGAAGACCCTGGATTTGATTCCAAGTACTGGGAAAAAAATCTAAGTGACAGAAACTTTCTTTAGCAGTCGGTTCCTGATCCTCGGGGCAGCCTCTCTAGCTCTGGCAGAGTGGGCTGTGTACCATGAGAGCTGTAGGAGCCGAGGATGCTTATGTTCGACTTGAGCCACTGTGTGTGGTTGTTTTGATGTGAACTTTGCTGGCCCTAGTGGAGGAGGCCATGGGCAGAGATTTTACTCAAATCGTACCCAGTCAGTCTTCCAGCTGAAATTTTTAGACACCAGACTCAAGTAGTTCTTGGTATGTAATATCTCCGTGGGCATATTTGTCTACTGTGTGTGAAGGAGAAGAAGAAGGTAGTCTGTAAAGAGACTGGTAAATAAAATGGAAGCTAATGTCTTAGTTGCTTTCCTTGTTGCTGGGGTAAAATGCACAATGCCTACGACTTAAAGGAGGAGAGATTTATTTGGGCTCACAGTTTTTAAAAGATTCAGTTCATAGTCAGCTGGCTCCAAGGCAGGAAAGGCATGCTGGAAGGGTCTAGCTGAGGAGAGCTGCTCAAATCATGGCAGCCAAGAAGCAGAGAGACAAGGGAGGAGCAGGGGAGGGAGATAGAGCCTTCAGGTCATGCTCCCAGTGACCCACCTCTTCCGACCAGGCCCCAGCTCCTAACAGCACACGTAGCTATGGCTTCTTCAGTGGATTAATCCACTGATGAGTATATTGCCTCCCATGATACAATCACCTTCGAAAACCCAACCTCTGGGACATGACATCTGGGGAGACATTTGAGATCCAGACTATCACAGAAGCCCAGCAGGGAAATGAAAGGAAAGGTAGGGATAGGAATAGACAAGGACAGATAGGGATTGGACGGGAGAGAGAGAAGAAAGGAGAGGAGAAAAGGAGAAAGAAGAGATGAGAGTGATTCAGCCAGAGGGAGACAACTGTGATTTACACAGCCGTTCAGTTCCGCTTCCTGTCCGCAGTAGGACCTGCAGACCTAGGTCTTGCTTGGATTCTAAACTTCCAGCAACATCATTTTCGCTTAAGTCAGCATAAACAGATTTTATTTCTTGCAACTAAAGATCCTTGAATAAAAACTCAGGAGCCACTAACAGTGAGGGCTTGATCAGAGATGTGGACCAGGACATTGTGAGAAATTTGTCCCTAGCCTCAATATCTGTTGGAGGGGACCCACGCGACAGGTACTTTTATCCTCTGATCCCCACCAAAAGGCATCATGGTCGATGCATCCCTATCCTCAATATCTGTACAGATCAGAGGAAAGGTGAAATCATCCTACATTTAAATATAGAGCATCTTAGAAATGTCATCTTAGCCTCTCTCTGCTGTAGGGCATTTTGGAAAATACAGTCCTGGCTCATTTTTTTGTTGGAAGGCAGCATCAAAGATGCAGGCTTCCTCTCCTTCCTTCCCTCCCTTCTTTCCTCAGCATCTGCCATGTGTCAGGTATATGCCAGGCACTAAGAATATGGGAATGAGTCAAGAAAAGGTTTTGCCCTCCATGGCCATGGTAATAGGGAGAGTTAGCAAAAAACAAACACAAAATTGATGATTCCAGTTAATTCTTGCTGCATAATAGAACACCTCAAAACTTAGGGTATAAAACCACAACCTTTATATTTTATGATTGTGTAAGTCAGGAGTTTGGGACCGCATATCTGCTTCACAGTGGACTGGTGCCAAAATGAGCTGGCTGAAACAGCTCGTCTGGGACCATATATCTGAGGCCTTGGTCCTGGCTATTGCTCCGTGGTGTGGGTGTTGAACTCCCCTCCCAAAAATATGTTGAAGCCCCAGTATCGAACTAAGCAAGCGATTTTATTTGGAAATAGAATCTTGGCAAATGTGACTGTGATGATGATTAAATTAATACATATTAGATTCATTATGATGAATGTCCTTGTAGGGAGTTGGGGACACACAACCACCCTCAAAGACAGAGGTAGAGATGGAGTGACAGAGCTGTAAGCTGAGGAATGCCACAAATTGCTGGCAACCATAAGAAATCAGGAGGAGACAAGGAAGGAATCTTCCCCAAAGGCTTTAGACGGAGCATGGCTCTGCCAATACCTTGGCTTTGGACTTCTAGCTCCAGGACTGTGAGAGAGTAAGTTTCTGACATTTTAAGCCATGTAATTGCTAAGTGTATAGTAGTTTTCTATAGAAGCCCTCAGGCGCTAATATGGCTGGGGTTTCTGGTCTTACTCCCTGTGTGTGTGTGTGTGTGTGTCTGTGTGTGTGTGTCTGTGTGTCTGTACTGCGAGGATTGAACCTAGGGCCTTTGCACCGAACTACATCCTCAGCTCCCCTGTTTTATTTTTTATTTTGAGACTGGGTCTTTACTACGTTGCCTCATCTGGGCTTGAACTTGTGATCCTCCTGTCTCAGCCTCCCACAGTGCTGGGATTACTGGCATGTGCCATTATGCTCTGGCTTCTTTTCTAGATTCTATCTGCTAGGGCAACATGTCTATGTTGGCTCCTTCATCCACTTGTCTGGTGCCTAGGCTAACATAGCTGTCACCACTGGGGCTCTCTGTCCATGTGGCTTCTGTGCCTGAGAAGCTTGGGCTTCCTCACAGCATGGCAGGTGGAAGAATGAGTTTCTTAAAGTCTGGTTCCAGAGCACGGCCCAGCTTACCTTCCACCATACCCCATTGGTCAAAGCAGTCAAAGGGTCATTCACATTCAAGAATTTAAGATATAGATTTCATTTTTTTTGGTACCAGAGATTGAACTCAGGACCTTGTGCTTTCGAGGCAGACACAGTGCCGCTGAGCTAAATCCCCAGCCCTAGACTTCCTTTCTTTAAGCCACCACAATGACAAGGGGTGATATGTGATTGGAGGAAGTTAAAAATAAACAAACCCTGTCCAGGCCGAGGATTTAGTTCAGTGGTTCCGCCACCTGCCTCATAAGCACAATGTCCTGAGTTCAATCCCTGGTACCACCAAAAAACCCCCGTGTCCTTCACCTCTTCCCTATATTTTTTTTCTTCATTAGCCATTAAGCCCCATGGGTAATATAATTTGGTCTCTATGGGCTGTCTCAGTGAACAATGGCCAACATGAATTCTTCACTACTGTGCTCCAGGAATGCCACTGAGTTGGTAGTCCTGGCTTCTTCTCCATCAGTCCTAAGGTGTCCTGGGAACTATATCCCAGAGCATCAGAGGAAATGTAGTCCTGTCCTTATTCCTCACTATGGTGCATCAAGGGAGTTCTGGCTACCAGGTTATCTTCTCTCCATCTCCTGCCCCAGAGCACCCTGGGAAATGAAGATGTCCTATCTCCCCAGAACAATAAAGTAGTCCTAACCTTTGAAGTTGGGGAGAAGAAACCACTGGATGACTTGTGCTTGGGTGGGCGAATTAGAAGTTTGTATTTGGAGGCCAGATATAGATGTGGAGGCAGCTTAGGGTGAAGTCCACTGGTATAAAAATTTTTTATTTACATATAAAATAAATATGAATATTAATAATAACAATAACAAGAGCAGCAACAATATTAATAAAACCAAGAGCTTTCTTGCTGACCCACAGCCTTGCTCCAGCTTTTCTCCTCCAGCTCTCAGGAGCACGTGGTGAGACAGTCACACAGCTGGGGAAACCGTGGCCCCGAGAGGACAGCACACAGGCACAAGTCCGCAGGAACAAGGGTTGAGGACAGGACAAAGGGGTCCCCTGGGTCCAGCCAGGGTGGAGGCCCTGGGGTTCAGGTCCAGAGGAGAACGCCTCCCCACAGTCTTATGGTCACAAGCAGAGTGCTGGCAAGGCTGAGGGGGACAGGGCCAGGCCGGGGGGCACCCCCACTGCGGTAATGGACGTCGCTGGCTGGGTGGTTACAACCAGTGCCCTTACAGCACGAGACACTGAGGTGAGTCAGGCTGAAGGTGTCGGCCATGTGGGAGTCTTGGCACCAGGAGGCAGTTGAACAGCCCCTCAGTGTGAAGTTCGCATTCCCCGGTCCTGAGGAAGAAGAAGATTGAGTGAGACTCCCGGCTCTGGGGCCTGGGATTCTCCAGTGGGTGACATAGCACTAAGTGATGGGTCCCATTTCCATGGCTTCGTGGACAAAGCAACAGTTCTTTTTTGTTGTTTTATTTTGTTTTTTTGGTACCGGGGATTGAACTCAGGACCTTGCACTTGGGAGGCAGGCGGTAGAACCACTGAGCTAAATCCTCAGCCCAAAGCAACAGTTCTTAAAGGATGATCTAGGGGCCCCAGGGGTGGGGTGGGGGGGTCCCTCAGACTCCTTCCAGGAATCTGTGAAGTCAAAATGATTCTCAGAAAAATGCTACAACAGAATTTGGCTTTTTTATACCCAGAAGTCTACAAAGGAGTTTCCCAGAAACTCCAGGACATGTGATATTGCAACCAACTGAACACAGAAACAGAGATGAGGAACAGCTGTGTTCTGTTCAGCCAGACATTAAAGAGATCTGCAACATGGTTAAACAATGCCAGTCATATAACCATGTTCCATTTAAGAGCATCATTTGTGGGCTGGGACCATAGCTAAGTGGTAGAGTGCTTCCCTAGCATGCGTGAGGCCCTGGGCCCAGTACCACACACACACACGAGTTATTTATGTTATTGTGTAATGAGTTCTTGTTATTTTAATAAATCAATATAAATTATAAAAATTTAAATTAATTTATCAATAAACCCTAAAATTCTTTCTCGGTTCTAACTTCTATTGTAGTACATATTTATAGCTATACCTGACACAAACAATAATTTTTGAGACTGTGACTTTATTTTTTATATTTTTTGGCAGGACTGGAGATTAAACCCAAGGCCTTTGCACTGAGCTACCTCCCCATCCCTTTTTTTGTTTTGTTTATTTTTTATCCTGAGACAGATTCTGCTAAGCTGCCCATGCTGGGCTACAACTTGTGATCCTTCTGCCTCAGCCTCCCTAAGTGCTGGGATTACAGGTGTGTGCCACCATGCTTGGCAGGAAGGAGTCTTGAGACCAAAATGTCTGAGAATGCTGGAATCCAGGCACTCTAAGATGAAAGCCTTGAATATCCACAGGAAGTCCCCCCTACAGGAAATGTCACCCCCAAAGATGTCACACTTCTGGGGCATAAATGTCCATTTCTGAATGAACAATTCCTTACTATAGTTTGCACCCTCTTGAGGGAAGTCCCATCTTTCCTATGAGAAAAGCCACCTTGTGCCTGGGATTTAACTCAGTGGTTTTGCTGCCTGCTGCACAAGCCCAAGGACCCGAGTTCAATCTCTGGTACCAAAAAAAAAAAAAAAAGAAAGAAAAGAAAAGCCACCTGAGTTTAAATCCAGCTTCACTGGAAGTCAATCAGCTGTGGAGCCCCATCATTCCCAGAAAGTGTCCCCTGCCAGCCTCCGGAAGGGCCTCACCTTTAGTGCCCGTGGCTTGGAGACATTGGTCCATTGGGCCTCGGCAGCTGACCAGGGAGCTCTCACTGGAGGAGCACCCATGGGTACCGTTCCCCTCACAGCTGTAACACTGGACTCCATTGGGTGGCAGGTTTTGGAGCTCTATGACTTAGAAGACAAGAGACAGAGAAATTGGCAAGTGGGTCTTCAGGGTGCATTCCCCTGCAGGACTCCCAGATGTCAGCCCTAGATGTCATAGTGCCACCTTGTGGTCAGGCATTTGACAGCACTTTCTTTCTGGATATTTTCCAGGGCCTTAAGAGGTCAAACCCCAGCTCTGACTCCCCAGGAGCCCCAGAACGGCCCAGGTATTGTGCTGGGACCTGCGTAAGCAACTGTGTGCCTCAAAACAGTCTTGCCTTCTCAGAACTTAGAGTTTAGTGTGACACTGTTCAATATGGTAGCTATGGGCCACATATATTTTGTTTAAATTTACATTAATTAGCATTAAATGTAATATTAAAATTCAGTTCACTGTTTTTTGGGGGGTTTTTGGTACTAGGGGTTGAACCCAGGACTTATTTTTTTTTTTTCCATTTTGAGACAGGCTCTTACTAAGTCATTAAGTTGCCCAGGCTGGGCTAGAACTTGAGATCCTACTTCTCAGCCTCCTAGGGTGCTGAGATTACATGCATGCACCACCATCCTCAGATTCAGTTTGAATTTCCAGTGCTCCAGAGTCATGCACAGTGGAGGCTATCATATTGAACAGCACTGATACAGAACCTTTCCATCACTCCTGAGGGGTTCGGTGGACAGAGTAACAGGAGAGGGCTGTATCACACCATGGAAGAGGCACAATGCAAGTTTTGCTGAGGCTGATACACAAGGCTGAGACACAGCGGTGACCTGTGGCTGGGTGAGTGGGTTCTCAGGAGATGGGATCCAGGTGGAGGGTAGTATGCATGCCCTGAGAGAGGATGCAGTTTGGCAGATCCTGGATTACACAGGTCATAGCAAGACCTCTGGACTTGATTCAAAGAGGAAGGGGGAGTTGTCGCAGTGCTTGATTGAGGACAGTGATGAGATCAGATTGGCATTTAAAAAAATCAGGGCTGGAGGTGCAGCTCAGCATTAGAACACCTGGCCCAGCATGCAAGAGACCCTGGGTTTCACCCCCAGAACTGCACCTCCCCTCCCCACAAAAAGACACTCAGAGAGGGCCGGCTGCCGGGGAGTGGCAGGCAGTGGGGCCCGAGCTGGCCTTCCTGGGCCTCACGCAGGTCCTTGCCCCTTACCTGGGCCCCTGTTGCATTTGGTGCTATTACAGCATCGCAGGTAGTGGAAGCTGTGGTTGTTGTGGAAGCCGGTGGGGCCGGGGCAGCCAGGGAGGAAGCCGCAGCCTCGGGTGTGGTGCTCATCTGTGCTGCTCTCTGTGTCTCCAAAGGAAGGAGGCCGGGGTCAGATCACGGGTGAGGGTGAGACAGGGCTCAGCCATTCTCTGCTTTGCCCCCCATCCCAGGCCCCCATTTTATTTAGGGTAACTATATATCTAGCCAAAGGGTTACATTTTCCAGCCTCTCTAGGTCTAGGTAGGCAGGTGATGAATTTGTGGCCAATGTGATATAAATGGAAGTGTTTTATGGGACTTCCAAGAAAGAGAATTCTTACAAAAGGAGGGCTCCTCTTTCCAACTCCTTTTTTTGGACCCTTGTTCCTTCCTGGAAATTGGACTCGAGGCCTGGCACTCTGACACTCATATTGGTCTATGAGGCAGTCAAGAATAGGGCCAGACGTCACCTGCTGCGCAAGTGCAAGGACCCGAGTTCGATCCCCAGTACCAAAAAAAAAATAATAATAATAAAAAAAGAATAGGGGGGCTGGGGATTTAGCTCGGTGGTTTCGTTGTCTGCTGCGCAAGCACAAGGACCCGAGTTCAATCCCCGGTATCAAAAAAAAAAAAAAAAAAAAAAGAATAGGGCCAGGGATTTAGCTCAGTGGTGCCGCCGGCTGGGTCCTGACTTTGATCCCCAGTACCAAAAGAAAAAAAAAAAGAATAGAAGTGATACATAAGAAATGAGGAGGCGTTTGGCCTCTGGTGACTCTGGAACTGTCCCAGAGGCCCTGGACTTCCAGTGACTAGATTTTGAATGTGTGAATGAATTAAATTCCTTCTTTGAATCCCTGTTATTTGGGGGGGCTGTCAAGTGCAGCCCTGGGGAAGAGGCCAGCAGAGAGGAGGAGCTGCTGGCAGGTTGGGACTCACCTTCCAGGCTGTTGTGGGTCACCACCTCGATGCACTGCTCTCTGGGGAGGCGACACTGCAGGCTCTGCTCCCGGCCCCTCTCACAGCTCAAGTCTGACGAGGTGCAGGAAATACATTCAAGGTACCGGCCCATGGCGAAGGTGCGTGCCTGGCCTGACAGGAAGCGGTGGTGGGGTGAGACTCCGTGGGCTGAGTCCCGGGGCCCAGCTCTCCTGAGGTCTCACCTTCGCATCACCCCCTCCTCAGTCTACCTTTCAGCTGAATCTGTCCAGAATCCTCCCATCCTGTCCGGCCCCACGGCCCCATCCAGCTTCAGTCTCCTTCAACACCGCAGACTGGCATCCTGGCCTTGACCCCCCCCCAACTCCTCTTCATTCTTCAGGTGTCAACTCTGATGTCGCCTCTGCCAGGAAGCCCTCCCTGACTCACTGGGTGGAGCAGGCACCCCTTTAGGCTCTTACAGCCCCCAAGTCATCCCAGACCTGCCCACCTTTGATCATCAGTGTGTGGCAACAGGTCTGCCTCCTCCTCTAGGCTCTGAGCCCCAGGAAGGAAGGGCCAAGCCTATCTCGCTCACAACTGGATCCCAACACCACCCGGCACAGGTGCAGGGCCAGAGAAGGTATTCAGTCAATACTGTATTTGTTAAATGATCAAAAGAATCAACAATGACTTAAAACCCTTCTATTGTTCCCTGTGGAGGCCAGTCTCCACAAAGGCTTCCAATGGATTCTGCTTGCTGTAGAGCAAACCCATATAACCAATAGGGTATTGTGGAAATGATGGCATGGAACTTGGGGAAGAGGCCTGGCGCTCTGGCAGCCATATTGTGCCTCCTTTTTCTTCCTCCTCCTGCTTCTTTTAGGAGCACTGGAGGACCTTGACAGTGAGCTACATCTCTAGTTCTTTTTTATTTTGAAACAGGGTCTTGTTAAGTCGCTCAGGCAGGGCTCAAACTTGCAGTCCTCCTGTCTCAGCTTCCTACAACGCTAGGATTACATGCATGCGCTACCATGCCTGGCCCATATTGTGCCCTCTGTGGCTAAAGCTATTGCAACTTCTGCACTTCTCTGTCCATCTGTCTGTCTGTCTCTCATTTGGTCTGGCAGATGCCAGCTACTGTACTGTAAGGACATTCAAGCAGCACAGAGAGGTCTGTGTGGTGAGAAGCAAGGCCTTAGCCAAAGTCATGGGCGGGGTTTATCCACGGGAGAGGAGTGACTTCCGGGCCTTCAGGTAGCTGCAGCCCAAGCTGACATCCTGACTCCAATATCACAAAAGTCCCTGAGCCACAGCCACTCAGCTAAGCAGCCCCAAAATTGATGACTTCCAGCTCCTGTGTGAAATGCTCATTGTCTGAGGTCCAGGGCAATCCATCCTGCAGCCACAGACAGCTGCACATGACCTGACTGCCTGAGAGGTCAAAGCCTCTCTGAGATCCCTGATAACTTTGCCTTTTGCACCAACGTTCTGGTCCAGGCCAACTGGATGGGTTACTTTTCCCTGAAAATCCTGGGTCATTCCTCTGCCCCCAGCCTTGGCACACTGTCCCCCAGCCTGGCATTGGTTTCTCCTTCCCAAACCAAGACACTGTGGGAATCTGGGCCAAGGCTGAAGCAAGGGAGAGGGCTGTGTGAGCCAAGGCTCCGGACTGGCAGACTTGCGGCAATTAAGGGAATCACTTCCCCAAAGCCAAATCGACTGCTTCAAGGAAAAATACCTAAAAGGCCAAGGACCCACAATTCTCTCACAAACTTCCGTGAAAGTGAAAGCACGGATTTCCATCCAGGTCACTCACAGGCTCACAGTCTCCTTTGAGAACTCTTCCTCTTAAGCACCTCTTTTTATTTTGTTTTTCTTTTTTTCAATACTGGAGATTGGACCCGGGGCCTTCCCACCGAGCTACATCTGCAGCCCTTTTTTTTATTTTTCTATTTTCAGATAGGGTCTTGCTAAATCACCAAGTTTCCCAGGCTGGACTCAAACTTGCAATACTCCTGTCTCAGCTTCCCAGAGGGTTAGGATTATGGGCATGCACTACTGTGCCCAGTTCTTAGGCCCCTCTTCTAATTGCAAGTGACTCTCAGGGCTCTGTCTTCAGCCTTTTTCTTTTCTCATAGTATAAATTCTCCCACAGGCATGTTATCTGGTGAATGCTTCATTTCTGCCCATCTGCTGCTCACTCACAAACCTCCAGTCTCAAAAATTGAGCCTGAGCTCTAGAGCTGTCCATCCACTGCTCTTGGATGCCCCAGTGATTCCAACATCTAAATCTCTACCTATTGTGCTGTGGCTTGGATGTGGTTTATCCAGAGAGTTCATGTGTTGGAAGCTTAGGCCTCAGGGTGGTGGTGGGAGAGGTGCTGGGACCTTTAAGAGGTGGAGCCTAGTGGGGAGTGGCTAGGTCACACCCAGGTGGGGCACTGCCCTGGGAAGCGGTTAGCTGATTCTCACAGCACCCTCAGTTAGTTCCCAAGACAGTGAAACTGATGCCTCCCCAAACCCTGACTTCTTGTCTCACTCTGTGATTTCTCTTTCTGTCACACAACCCTGTCAGGATCCCATTAGCCAGGGGCCTTTTGCCAGAACCAGCCACACTGTTTGGAATTTCCACCTCTGAAACTGTAAACTACATAAAATTCTTTTCTTTACAAAGTTCCCAACCTCAGGCATTTCATTACAGTAACAGAAAACTGACTAATCCACACCCCAAACTGAACTCAGCACCCTCTCCCCAGGCCTGTTCCTTCTGCAGAAGTCCACAGATCTGGGGTGGCCCCATCTAGTCCCCCGTTCCCTCAGTGCAGAGACCTGGGTGAGACCCCAATCCCCTACTTCTGTGCCTCAGTCTAGACATTTCTACCTTCCTGTCCCTAGATTTTCAATCCTCTTGCTCTGCTGTCCCTAATCTCTACTAAGCTCATCCTGTGAGTTCTTCATTTCAGTCACTGTTTTATATTTTCTACTTGCCTCTAAAAATGGATTCCAGATGCTCAAACTTATCCTTCCCTCTGTTTTATTGAATCAACTGATCGTTACCATTTTAGGTTTCCTGATGAATAATTCCAATGTCAGAATCACTTCAAATCTGTTTCTGTTGTTCAGTTTTTCTTAGTTTCTGGTCAATTGATTTTGGGGGGGGGGGTACCAGGGATTGGTCAATTGATTTTTTAAAAAAAATTTTCTTCAGGACACCATATATGCTTTCACTAGATGCCAGATATTATAGGTAGAAAATGTAAAGGCTCCAAAGGATGTTGTCTTCTTCCAAAGATGGTTAAGTTTTCTTCCTGGCAAGAATGGCATCGGGGGCCGGGGATTTAGCTTACTGGCACTGCACCTGCCTTGTAAGCACAAGGTCCTGAGTTCGATCCCCAGTACCAAAAAAAAAAGATCTGCATCGGGACTTTTGAGGGCTGGTCCCTTTCCGTCTTGCCCCTACCCCCGGGTGAGGGCTCATGGGAAGGCGTGGGCGGTCACCCAGGCCCCTCCAGCTCGGTCCCTCCATCTCCCCAGCGTCACAGGCCTCCTGGAAGCCGGGCCCTGTTCTGTGGCCTCCCAGTGTCTATTTTCTGCTGCTTTTCTTGGAGTCTCACCATACGTACATACAGCTTGCCAGCGACTCCAGGGAAATTCGTTTGCAGATCTGGGGACTCCCTTTCCTGCGGTCCCGTCTATTCCAGGATCCTACCCCTCATTCCCAGACACGCTGGCAGCCCCGACTCCAACCTGTCTTCACAGTCTAGCGACTTCCTCTCCATGCGGGCTCCATTTCCCCTTCACAGCAGAGAACTGGAAGGAGCACTTGTGGAAAACCAGGTTGCCTGTGAAACTCTTACTTCTGTGCTTCCTTATTTCAGATATTGCAGTGCCTCCGGTGACCTCGCATAATTGTCATTTGTCCAGTTTGCAGCCATCACGGGCAGAGGCCTCCTTTTGGTACCAGTGACTTCATCGTGCAAGTCTCCTCCCCATAAGCCACCACCCTAACGGCCCAGCCCGAGAGCTCCTCCACCTGGCCACTTCTGTCCCTCTGCTTGGCCTGCGCCCTCATCCCACCACCCGCTTCATCAGCCTCTAAGCTGGTTTCCCTCATCTACCTTTGCTTCCCTCTGATCTGTCTTCAGCCCTAAGGGCAGAATAATTTGCTAAAAATACAAATGTGACCATGACACCCTCTGCTTATGACCTCCCACCATCCCCGGCTGCTCTCAGAACGTGGTCCATATTCCACATCTCAGACTAGAAAGGACCCTGCCAGGTTCACCAGGACGCCTCCTTCCTTCCTCCAGCCCTGCCACTTTCACCCCTCTCTGGGGCTTCAAACCCGCCCTGGCCTCGGCTGTAACACCTTCTCCACTGCCTTGTCCCCAGGCTGCTCCTACTGATCCTTCAGGTCCAGCTTCCCCTAGGAGCCCTTCCCTGAGCTGAGTCAGGCATTCCTGCTGGGGTCCCACAGCCCTGACTTCCCTCACCCCATCTCTGACCCTCTGCCTGCACCTCCTCATTCTGTCCCTGACTAATCCGCACTGTCACTGTCTGTCTGGTGATGGGTCTGTCACCTCCCTCCCCAAGACACACACTGGATTGCAAGTCCCATGGAGACAGGGCCCAAGACTGCCTTGCTCACTGCTTTGTTTCCAATAGCAGGTAAGTATAGGATGTGGTTTAATCACCTATCCCAAGGTGCTAGAGCAGAGTAAAGATGGCAGTAAAATGAGGATAAAAAACTAGGTATGGTAGCACAGGCCTGAAATCCCAGTACACTGGGAGGCTGAGGTAGCAAGACTGAAGGTTCAAGCTCAGCCTGGGCAATTTAGCAACTTAGTGAGATCCTGTTTAAAACAAAACAAAACAAAAGGGCTGGGGTTGTGGCTCAGTGCAAAGGCCCTGGGCTCAGTGTACAAATACCACTTGTGCGCACAAAGAAAGGGAGGGTGAAAGAAGAGAAAGAGAGAAAGAATGAGAGAGAGAGAGAGAGAGAAAATAAATTACTGGACGGCTGAATTGGCAGCTGCTGCCCAAGCTCCTCATGATCCCTGACCACTCCCAAGTCTTGCTAGAATGTTCATGTCCCTGTGACCCATCAGTGAGGGGGGTGGCCCCTGCCAGCAAGGGACATCCTGGGCTTTGTCCCTGCTCTGATCACTACCTTGACTGTCCTCTCTGATTAGATGCATATCTACCAGGGAGAGGAAGCCGAGGTCTCTCTTGTCACTTCCTTCAAATTGCACATTAGAGTGAGCCCTGCCACCAGTGCTGAGGATGGATGAAAATGAGGCTGGGGTCAGGTTGGAGGAAGGAGGAAAACCCAGTGCACACGCAGGTGCTCTGCTTGCGGACGTCACTGTGATTGCAGTGACCTTAATCAGTTTCCTTCCTCACCAGGCCAGAAAGAGGAATCACTGCTGATGAGCAGCGCCGGTCCCTTCCTTCCCCATTCTTTCCTCTCCCCCGGGAAGTGGCTGAAAAGAAGAATTCGGGTTTCTTTCTTTTTTTTTTTTTTTTCCAATTGACCAGAGCCCAAAGGGATTAGGGAAGTTTCTTGACTTTTTTTCACTGTTCAAGTCAGAGATCATCTGGACCAGGGACCCCTCCCAGCCTATGCTCGCCTCTCCTCTTTTCTTTCTTTTTTAAATTTTGAGATGGGGTTTCCTATTTGGCCCAGGCTGGTCTGGAACCCCAAAACTTAAGTGACCCTGCTGCCCCAGACTTCCGAGTAGCTGGGACTACAGGTGCGAACCACCATGCCACGGTTCCTCTCCTCTTGATTTTCCCTAAGAACTATGAGTCTCCCTCTGCTTGCGTCTTGGCTCCTCAGCATCTATTGCTTAGACTGTCCTCTGTCCTCGAGGAAGAAATTAGATGAAAAAATGTCAGCAAGACGCCTCCCCTCTCTCTCAGGCATGTGCGAGACTGTTAAGGGGTGCTGTACCTTATACATAGTGACCACCACACAAACGCTCGGGCTGGAAATGGGTCTACCCTCGTGAGTGGGAGTGGGCATTGTTTGAGAATAGGACAGTGTTGATTTGAGGATGCGATCAGAACTGTTTGGAATGCAGAAGGGATTCCGTTGGGGTTGGTATGGGGTAAGGGATGGAGCGGTGCTGGGAGACTGTAGGGTCCGGGATGGAGAACTGCATGACTCACCAGGTCTGGGCCGGTTGCACAAGTTGGACCGGCACACGGTCTCTGTCAGGCTGATGATCTGCGGGCCCAGCCGATAGCTCATCGTCCTGTTGGTCTTCTCTGCATGAGCACAGCCTCTCTCCACCACCTCCAGCTCATCTTCTCTTGTGAAGAATGTATCCTTAGTGCCGCAGTGGCTTCCTGGGCCCAGCCAGCTTCCAATACCCCAGGCTCAGGGCCACCCACTCCCAGGGCTGATTCCTGCCAGACCATTCTTGCTTGGGTCCAACTCTGTCTTTTCTAGAGCTGCCCTCCCACCATCCAACTCCCCACCACCAGATGTAGGGGAGCCTGCTCTCTGAGTGACCCTAAGACTTGGTGGATCACCTCCCCTTTGCTCCTTCCTCCCCCTCGGCTTGGTGATCTCAGCAGGGAGATGCCTCTGAGAGGAATTTTTTTTTTTTGGTACCGGGGATCGAACTGGGGTCCTTGCACTTGCGAGGCAGGAGGTGGAATCACTGAGCTAAATCCCTGGCCCTCTGATGGGAATTTTAAATCCTTTTTCTGGTTTGTTTGTTTTTGGCCATGCTGGGGATCAAACCTAGTACTTCACACATGCTAAGCAAGTACTCTACCACTGAGCTACACCCCCAGCCCTCTGATAGGAATTTTTAAAGGGAAATGCTTTGAGCTTACTAAAAAGAATAGGAGGATTATATAATGAATACTATGTATTTTATCCAACTTAGTAAAACATTAGCATTTCACTATATTTGTTTCAGGTACTTTTTAAAGGAAATGGATTTTTTTTTTTTTTTTTAGTTTTTTGAGACAATGTCTCACTATTAGTTCAGGCTGGGCTTGAACTCACTGTGTAGCCCAGGCTGGCCTCAAATTCATGGTGAGCCTCCTGCCTCAGGCTCCAAGTGCTGGGATTACAGACATGTGCCACCACGCCTGGCAGAAATGGAATTTTTGAAACTTTTTTTTCAGTATCAGGATCAAACTCAGGACCTTGCGGTTGCCAAGCAGGCATGGAACCACTGAACTGCATACTCAGCCCTAAACCATTGTTGACACATTTTTTTCCTTTTTCTTTCAGGAAATGGAGTTTTTAAAACACTCTGTTTTACAGCTGCCAAGTCCCACTCCCCTCATGCTTTTCTTTTTGGTACCGGGGATTCAACTCGGGTCCTTGAGCTTGTGAGGCAGGCGGTGGAAATACTGAGCTAAATCCCCGGCCCCTCCCCTCATGCTTGATCCAGAGGCAAGCAGTGGCAAGAAATTTTTACTGAATGTATGCATAATGCTATGTTATTTTTTTCCTTGTTTGAAAGCTTGTGTAAGAAGGTATACTGTGCAACCTGTTTCTTCCTCTCAATCTTACATGGTTTTTTTTTTTTTTTTTTTTTGGTACCAGGGATCAAACTAGGGTCCTTATGCTTGTGAGGCAGGCTCCGGAACCACTGATCTAAATCCCCGGCCCCATGGTTTGTTTTTTGGGGCAGTACTGGGGATTGAATTCCAGGGCACTCTATCACTAAGCTACATCCCCACACCTTTTTATTTTTTATTTCATAGACATAGTGTTGCTAAGTGGCCCAGGCTAGTCTCCAACTTATAGAGCTTTCTGCCTCAGCCTTTCTAGTCTCTGGGACTACAGGCACATCCCAAAGTTTCTTTTTTTTTTTTTCCTGGTACTGGGGATTGAACTCAGGACCTTGAGCCTGGAAGGCAAGCAGCGTGCCACTGAGCTAAATCCCCAGTTCCCCACATTTTTTGAGGTGTACCCACAAGGATATTGTTCCTTCACTTAAACTCTGCAGCATTCCACCAAGTGATCATACTGCATGGTCCTCTGCTGCTGAGATTGTTTATAATTTACCTATCACAAACAGTACTGCTAAGAACATCCTTACTCATGTGTCTGTGGGTCGTGTGGCCAAAGGTCTCTGGAGTTTCTACATTCCTAGGAGTTGAACTACTAGCTGTATGGTATGCTAATCTTCATCTGTACTAGATATTGTACAGTTCTGCTGGGTGGCACATTCCCTAATTTACTGACTTACCGGGCTGGGGATTTAGCTCAGTGGTGCCACACCTGCCTCAAAATGGCAAGGTCTTGAGTTTGATCCCCAGGTCCTGAGTTTGATCCCCAGTATGGGGGGGGGTTTACTCCCCTGCCATAGGGTGTATGGTTCCACATCTTTATCAATCTGTATATTGCCAATATTTTATTTTATTTTTGGTGTTGAGAATGGATCCCAGGGCACAAATTAAGTGAGCTCTAGCAATGAGTTACAGCCTCAGATACTGCTATTTAAAGTTTAAGGCCCAGGGATTTAGCTCAGTGGTTCTGGAGCCTGCCTCGAAAGCAGAAGGTCCTGAGTTCGATCCCTGGTACCAAAAAAAAAAATAGGATAAAATAAATAAAGTTTAAATGTTTGCCGTCCCGTGGATGTGGAATGGGGTCTCCTTGGTTATTCTTAGTTTGTGGTTCCTTAATTCCTGGTAAGAGAAGGGTTCTCGGTCACTGGCGCTCCTTGTCGCACTGAAGTTGGGGCGGGGGAAACTCACCTCCCCACACGTGCATGACCGTGGTCCTGCAGAGATCCTGGCCCGGGGCACACTCCTCCACCTGGCAGGGCCCACTGCTTTTACACCACGAGCAGAGCAGAGCCCAGGAGGCTGGAGGAGGGAAGAAGGGGAGAGGAGACATGGTTGGTTACACGTGCCAGGATCTGCTCTGTCCTCCTCCCACCCATCCCCATACCAGGACTGGCACCAGGCCTGGTCCACTCCCGCCCCTCAGTTCCAATTCTGGGTTCCAGCCTGTGGTTCTTCTGTCCCTGTCCCACATTCTCAAAAGTCCTAGCCTCACCCTGCAGCCCTCTAAAAATTGCCCCGCCCCTAGACCCACCACAAATTCTATCCTCTTCAGAGTCCTAGCCGGGTCCTCCAGACCAGTCCCTAGGTTCTAGAGCTGCCCTCTGGCTCCTCCCCCACGTTCTATCCCCGCCCCTGCCCCCGCCCCACCCCGGCCTCTTTAATACCCGAGCCCCGCCCCTGCCTACGTTCTAGCCCCTCCCCCAGCCCTCCCCGGAGCGCCGCCGAGTCGGAGCCCGCTCTCCAGCCCCCTACCCCGCCCGCTAGGCCTCCGGAACGTCCCTTTCCCCCCAGATTCGGGTCATTACTCATTCCTGGCCTCCCGCGGTTCCACGCGCTGAGTTATCCCCCGCCACACCGCCACCCCCTCCACGCCCGACCTGATTCAATTCCTTCTCAATTTCCCCTCATGTCTCAAACCCAGTCCCCCATATTTTCCGGGGGAAGCAGGTGAAATAGTCACTTCGGCGAGGGGCTGGTGAAAGGGAAGTGTCCTCAGAGACGCTCGACCCACCTCTCTCTCTAGGCTCTTTGCAAAACGGGGCGCTGCATCCTTATTTCTCTAAGGAGGATCCTAAGGCGCCCGGCGGGGTCAGAACCCCAATTACTCGAGAGCTGGCTGGCGATTTCAGACCCGTTACTTAACCTCTGTGTGCCTCAGTGTCCTCCGAGAAAGGATTAATTACAGCTCCACCCACCTGGCTTGAAATGGCAAGGAAGGCGTTCAGAGGCGCCTCGGGAATGAAAAGGACACTCCCTTAAGGATCGCCTTTCTTAGCGCTTTTGCCCAACTACTCTTTCCCGCGCTGGGGTCTGGGGGAGACGCACAAGGACGACCCTCGGATGCGGGGAGAGGTGCTGGGGACTGAACCCCCTCCTCCGACTCAGCAGGCCTTGCCCCCTCCCTCCCAGCGCAGGCGCTCGCCCGGTCCCTACCTGGGGTGCAGATCAGAACGCACAGCGGCAGCAGCACGGGGCGGCCCATGCTCCCGGCCGGCCGTACCTCTCCTCTGGTCCGCCCGCCCGGAGGGAGACAGTTTTGTGACCCGGGGCTCCTCCCCGGCGCGTAGCTCCAGAGCCAGTCAGCCGCAGATGCGTGGGCGCCGCCCCCGCCTCCCCAGCTAGCGGCAAAAGTTCTCCTAGGGCGCGGTCACCACCCAGAAATGACCGGGGCTGGCTGGGCCCTGACTCACGCCAGCGGTCACAGCTCTGTCATCAGACTTCCCAGGTTCAAGTCCCAGTTCTTCGTCTTTCTGCCACGCGACCTCCTTGGACGGTGACTCTTCTCAGGTGTAAAATGAGGATGAAAACTTGCCCCCGTGGGAGACGGAAAGTGGCTGATTGTTAGATAGTATTAAGAGTTGTCTGCTTTGTTGGGGGGAGATGGTTTTGTGGTCATGTGTGGAAAATGCCTTTATCACTCAGAGATGCGCTCAAAGATTTGGATGTGGAATGACATAATGCCTGTCATTTATCTTCATTTTAACCAAAAAAGTAGATATCGCTGTTATGAAAAACATTTTATAGTTATGTGGGGAAATTATTCTTTATTTTTTAACAGACGCTTACTGAAGTATTTAGGGGTGGATGTCATCCATGTCCATATTTACTTTAAAAATATTTTAGAAGAAAATAAGGGCCAAATAGCCAATTATTTATATTAATTGTATCAAAATTACAGCTAGATGAGGCATTCTTATGTCATTCTTTCTCCATTTCTATGTGTTCCTAAAAGTGTTCACTAAGTAAAAATAATAATAAAGGAATATAAAACCCAGAGGATAAAATAGTCTCCTGTCTTGTGATGTTTCTGGCCAAGGAGAGCAATTTAACGTGGGAATAGTGGCAGGGCCACATGGAGGGCTCAATAAATTCTTGGAGCATTTACCAAGACCCACTTTGTGTCAGCCCCAGTCCAGGAGCTAGGGACACAGCAGGAAACAAAGGAAAGTCCTCACCCTTGTGCTGACAGTGGCAGGGAATATTATCTAAACTTTCACTGTCAGGGATTGGGCAAAATGGGGACTAAGCGGGTAAGTCTTGAAGAAGATGTGAGGGTGAGTGCAAATGTGATGTTAGCTGTGTTCCGTGGGGTGGTTCATGGAGATTCCGTGAGCATGGAGGGAAGAAGTCAGGCAAATGTGTAGGGAAAGCTTTCCAGAGACAGGGAAGAGCCTGTGCAAAGGCCCTGAGGTAGAAATGTGCTAGGTGACATATAGGAACTGCAGGGAGGTCAGTGTGACTCACAGAGGAGGGGAGGGAGAGGGTAGAAGAGGATGCAGAAGGAGTAGATCCCTCTACATTAATGATTCTACTATTTTGATTCTTACTAATCCGTTGAAGTGTCAGGTGAATCACTTTCAGGTAAGAAAAGTTTCAAAGAAATCCTATTTCGGAATAGCCCAATGTTTGAGTTCGGGGGCTGGCCCCAGATTGTGAGGGTTTGAATTCCATTTACGCTGTGTCCCAAGCTCCTCACCTGGAAAGTAGAGATTGTAAGTTTCTCCTTCCCAGGTCAGATGTTTTGGGAAGAGAAAAGAATGTTACACTTTCCACAGGGCCTGGGGCATAGTATGTGCTCAGGAAAAATAGTAAATATCATTGTGTTTTGTTTTTTAAACAGGGACTCTCTTTGTAGTTCAGGCTAGCCCTGAACTCAATATGTAGTCCATGCTGACCTCAAACTTGCGGCAATCCTCCTGCCTCAGCCTCCTGAGTGCCGGGATTACAGGCATGCACTACCACGCCTGGCAAAATTATTGTTTCAGACCCAACTCTGGCTCAACATTCCCCCTTCCTGGCAAGACAAGGGAGTTGGGGGTGTGTTCTGGAGTCTGAGGTTAGCAGTTGTCAGGCAGATGACTGCTAGAGTGGACCACTCCCTGGTTGGGTCATCCAGAGCCAACACAGTTCTCTGATAGGAGCCTTCATTTCCTCATCTGGAACCCAGGATCCCTTTTGGGCTTGGCATGAAGCCTGAACAAGATATCAATTCAAATGAGGTGAGTAAATAGAAAATGAGGTGTTGGAGCCAGGTGTGGTATAATCCCAGCTAGTTGCGGGGGACTGAGGCAGGAGGTTCAAAAGTTTGAGGCCAGCCCGGGCCACTTCGTGAAACCTGTTTCAAAATAAAAAACAAAAGAGCTGGGGATATAGTTCAGTGGTAGAGCGCTTGCCTAGCATGCAGGAGGCCCTGGGATCAATCTCCAGTGCTCCAAAAGAAAAACAAAGTTAGGATAATGATTCAGGCAAGTTTGAGACCCAGCTCAGCCACTTGACCCTGGGTGCCCCTGGGAATGGCTTCACTACATTGGTCATTAGTGTCCCACTGGTAAGATGGGTCTGGGGCAGGTGGGAGGCATTGAGGGGGTCGATGAACTGTGGTCCAGTGCTACCACTTCCTGGCAGGGTGACCTCATGGCTGTGGGACCAATTTCCTGCTTTATTTAAATACTGAAGGAAGTGTTTTGAAAGCTCCACATCCTCCCGTGGACTTTCCCCGGTCTCCTGAAATCTCTATCTCCCTTCTCTTCTGTGTCTCGCAGTCTTTATCTTTGTCTCTCTCTCCATTTGAGTCTTTTTCTTTGTTTCTGTCCCTCTTTATGTCTCTGGCTCCATCCCTTTATCCTTCTCCCCACTGTCTGTTTTTCTTTCTCTTTGCCTCTTTTTGTCTTTCTTTCTGCTTCTCCCTTCTCTCTGTCTCCACGACCAGTTCTGTTTCTCTGCCTCTGATTCTGTCTCTCTTTCTCTCTCCTACTCCTATGTCTCCCTCAAGTGACACACACCTGCAAGGTTCGGTAGGTGTCAGGGCCGGGGCACCTCCAGGAAAGCAGGAATGGCCCCCTCCTTCCTCCCGGTGACTCATCCAAGCCTCACCTAGCTGATGTGTGCCTACAGGGCTGTGGGCCAGGCACATGGGTTTCGGGGGTTTTCCCAGCCCAGGGAGAGACATAGAGGGTTAGAGAGTGGGGGAGACAGGCACAGCCAGGGCCACTGTTTCCAACAGATAACAACTCCTGCTATGGCTTAAATTATATTCGCTCCCAAAAGACAAGGTAAAGTCCTAACCCCAGGCCTCAGAATGCAACCTTATTTGGAAATAAGTTGTTGCAGGTGCAACCAGCTAAGATGAGGTCATACTGGGATGGAGTGGGCTACTCATCCAATGTGACTGGTGCCCTGGTAGGGAAGTGGCCGTGGGATGACAGAGACCCAGAGCGAAGGTCAGAATGACAAAGGCAGAAAGGACTCCCCTCCAGGGTCTGGAGGAAGCACAACCCTGCAGACTTGACACCTCCATCTGGGACTTCTTGACTCCGGACTAGTAGACAATACTTCTCTGTTGTTTCAGTCACCTGGTGTGCCAGACTGTGTTACAACAGCCACAGGAAATTAATATGACTTCTAGGAATCAATTTTTTTTGGTACTGGGGATTGAACTCAGGACCTTCCACTTGCGAGGCAGGCAGCGGAACCACTGAACTAAATCCCCGGCCCTAGGAATCAATTTTTTAAAAAAAGGAAAGGAGAGAGAGCAGAAATGGCTCTTATGAAAATGACATCAACTAGGCATAGTAGCACATGCCTGTAATCCCAGCCCTTGGGGGACTGAGGTGGGAGGATCACTGTCAGTTTGAGTTTGAGGCCAGAGTGTGTTGGCTACATAGTGAGGGTTTTTTTTCTTTTGGTACCGGGGATTGAACTTGGGTCCTTGCGCTTGCGCAGCAAGTGGCAGAACCACTGAGCTAAATCCCCGGCCCTACACAGTAAGTTTGAGGCCAGCCTGGAATACATAGCAAGACCCTGTCTGAAAAAAAAGACACCCCACAAAAGATACTAAAATACCATTTCCTTCAGTTGACTTCTGCTGTTACAACCACCTTAAAACTTAGGACTTAAAACAAGTATTTATAGGCCAGGGGATATAGGTCAGTGGTAGAGCACATGCTTAGCATGCAGAGGCCCTATCTCCACCCATGCTGCAAAAAACCCAAATATTTAGGGCCAGGGATTTAGCTCAGTGGTTCTTCCACCTGCCTCGTAAACGCAAGGTCCCGAGTTCATTCCCAGGTACCAAAAAAACAAAAAACAAATATTTATTAAGTCTCCTCTGTGGGGCTAGATTACTCTGGTACAGGCTGCTTTGGCCAAGCTTAGACTTAGATGGCATTTCGGTCTGAACATTTGTGTCCCCTGCAGGATTTATGTATTGAAATCCTGATCCTCAATGTGATGGTATTAGGAGGTGGGCTTTTGGGTGAGGTGATTAGGTCATGAGGGCAGAGCCCTTGTAAACAGGATTAGTCACCTTACAAAAGTAGATCCAGAGAAACTGGGCATGGTGATGCACACCTGTAATCCCAGCACTCTGGGAGACTGACAGGCAGGAGAATCACAAGTTTAAACTCAGCCTGGACAATTCAGCGAGACCCTGTCTAAAAAAAAAAAAAAAGAGGTCCCAGAAAGAGCTGCTTTGACCTTCCCACAGTGTGAGGGTGAAGCATGAAGATGTGTTTTATGACCAGAAAGTAGACATCCCCTGGACACGGAATCTTCTGGTGCCTAGATCTTAGACTTCTCTATTCCCAGAACTGTGAGCAACACGTTTCTGTTCTTTATAAATCACCCAGTTTATGGGATTTTGTTAAAGCAGCCTAGACTGACTAAGATAGATGACCTCGATCACATGTACAGGCTCTTGGCCTCAATGGTCGGGGTTCCGGGAACTCTTACAGCAGCCTCCTGGTCTCCATCATGCAGGAGGTGGCCTGGCTGGATCACCTAGTGGTGAAAGGTTCCCCAAGAAAGAAGTTGAGACAGGAGTGTCAATTCCTGGGGCCTAGGCTCAGAACTCATATGACATCCTTTCTGCCATATTCTAGCGGCCAAAGCCAGTTCTGAGACCCACTCAAGTTCAAGGGGAGGAGGAGAAATAGACTCCATCTCTTTCTATTTAGAAGTGAGATAGGAAGTAGGGCATGGCAAAGCTGGCTGGAAAATAAGTGGTACCAGTCAATTATAAGACCCCAGGACAGCGCCAAATAGTTCCCAGAACCCCGTATGTCGAACTTCTCAAAGGCTCTCGCGAGATGTGAACAACACATAAGGACACATGTGCCACGAAGAGCCCGCTATCATGACTCTTCACGGTAGCCCACTCTGTCTTTTAGACCTGGGTGAACTTTTATTTTTGCTCTTTTCTCATTTTCATTTTTGTTTACCCCAAGTTTGCTCTGCATAGCCAGTTTTCCCCTTACCCTTTCATCCCTCACTTTTCAAATAAACTTTTGATACCATTTTTAGCTTGTCTCATTCAATTCTTCGTTCAAGGTAAGAAGAACCTGGAATACCTTTAATTGGTGAGCCATTTCTACAGGAACTACCTGATCACAGAAAGGCTGTAGACCCATCCTCCCCTTTTACACCTCCCAGATCTGCAGAAGTCAAGAATCAGTTTGGGGAGGTGTGGAGTTGGTGAGGCTCTGAGAGAGCTGGCCTCGGGCCTTGCGGGAGTGTAAATTGGCACAACTCTCTGGAGGGTGATTTTGCAATTACTCTCAAAATTACAAAATTACAAATGTAGAAAAGCCTTTTGACACAGCCAAACCACTTACCACTTTTGGGAACTTCGTGCATGTGTGAAATGAAACAGGCAGGGAGCTCTTTGCAGATAGCTCCTAATGCCAAGTGATGGGAAGACGCCTGACCCTACAAGAGGTGTGTGCCTTCAGCGGAAAGAGGAAACCCTTTATGTAACTCCGGTTACATCACTGGTAAGTGGAGAAGTCTAGGGGCAGAACAGTGTGCAGAGAACTCTGAAGTTTGAGCACTGAAGCAGGACATGTGTCCCTACTTGCTTCTACATGGATTAAATAACTCTCCCCCTGAAGTCAGTTTCACAAGAAGAGCAGGGAAACGTCCCTTCCCTGTCTACTCACTCTTCACTCTTTGCCCCACAAGTCTTATTTGTGCAGTGCAAGGCTGTTTACCCGGGCCCAGTATGGACAGATAAACTTGTAGGATACTGGCTTCTAGTCAGGAAACTGTCTCGCTGCTCCCTCCTCCCCCAGAGGACTCGCTCTCCCATCTTCCCACTTCCTCAGGGCCAAAGGGTCTGGGTCTGCCTGGGAAGGAGGTAAACCAGGTCTTCAGGCTTCTTCTGGTCTCAGTGCTCATCAAGTAAAGCAGGCCCCACCCCCGGCTCCTATCTGTCCCTCAGGGTTGGTAACTTGCAAAGCAAACTCTGATGGTACACACTGATTGAGGAGTCCTGCCTGGAGCCAGGAAGCCCCACGCCCTGGGAGTGACCTTGGACTTGTGCATTCTCTTGCTTGGAATTCTCTGAGTTCCCCAGAGGCCAACTTCACCCTGCCCTGGCTTTAGTTACATTGCTAATGAATCGTGATGATGACAATAATCATAGCAGCAGCAGCTTTCTTGTTGTTGTTGTTTTTGCTGTTGTGGGTTTTTATTTTAATTTTTATTAGTCCATGTTTGCAGTACATGATGATTGCATTCATCGAGGGGAGTTGGTACCTGTACATAACACATCTTAATTCTTTTTAGGACCACTTGCCCTTTCCTTCCTCCCTCCCTTCTCCTTCATCTCTTGGTCCCTTTCCCATTTGCCAAAGACCTATCTCCCTGTTTTGATTTATTTATTTTGGTACTAGAGATTGAACCCAGGGACTTTACACTGAGCTACGTCCCCAGCACTTTTTATTTTTATTTTTTATTTCGAGACAGGGTCTCACTAAATTGTGATCCTCCCGCCTCAGCCTTTCAGAGTGCTAGGATTACAAGAGTGTATCACAACACCCAATTTAGCTTTCCTTTTATTCCTTTTCCTTTTATTTTTCTCTTGCAGTGCCTGGGATAGAACCCCAGAGCCTGGCACAGGCCAAGCAAGTACCCTAACACTGAGCTACATCCCTAGCCCTGCCCAGGGCCTGCTGTCTCAAGGGCTCCACGTACATCAACTCCTTTAATCCTCACTCAAGGCTCTGAATGTAGGTCCTGGGAGCTGCCCTTTCACTGGAAATAAACTCAGGTAGTTAACTGTCTTGCCCAAGGCCACTCAGCTCTGAGGCAGACCTGGAATGCAAATCCAAGCTGACTGGCTCCAAATTGTCCCTCCCCCTCTAGACCTGCTCTGGTTTCCTTGAAATGTGAACTGTAACTGCCACGAATCTGCCCAAGTTTGAGTCACTGTTTATCTAGCACTTACTGGAACTCAGGCCCTGGGCTTCACTCCTTTGTACAGATGAAATCCTGAGGCCCTAACTAGGGGAAGGGACAGCACCAGAGTTGTGCCTCAGAAGAGAAGTGACCCAGTCCTCCCGCCTAAACCCCACACACCCCACCCCCTTACTTTAAAAAAAATTTATTTGCTGGCTGGAAATTGAACCCAGGTCTTTCCCACTGAACTACATCCCCAGCCCTTTTAAAATTTTGAGACAGGGGGCCGGGGATTTAGCTCAGTGGTTTTGCCGCCTGCTGCTCAAGTTGACCCGAGTTTGATCCCCGGTACCAAAAAAAAAAAAATTGAGACAGAGTCTTACTAGGTTACTAAGTTGCCTAGGCTGGGCTCAAACTTGCAATCCTCCTGCCTCAGCCTCCCAGAGTGCTGGGATTTTGGCTAGCGTTACCATGCCCAGCTCAAGAAGCGCTTTTGAACAGGAGTCAAAGCTTGGGAAGAGGTGACTTCTACAGAAACATGCCCAGCTCCAGTACTAGAGGATCCTCCATGTACCTCATCCCCACTGAACAGATGTGAAATTCAAGGTGGTCCAGCAGGGTACAGGGGCAGCAGGGCCATGCAGGCCTCAACCAGCCAGGGAGAGTCTGTTTCTCTCCTGGTAAAGTGCAGTGGTCAGTTCAGAGAGACCAGGGTTCAAATCCAATCATGCCAACATCCTCAATTCTGCGGCCCTGCTCAAAGTCCTTGCATACTCTGAGCTTCAGTTTTCCTTTCTGTAAAAAGGGGAAACATCATCCCCTTTTCTGGGATGTGATATATTCAGATTTGGCTGGTGACAATCTGCTGCTTGGAGGCCCTCAGAGCCCCCATGGGGACATCGCTGAGTCCTCTCAGATACCCATACATTCCAGCAACAGAAGGGGTCATGTTGGGTCCAGAAAGGCCACCAGGATGTGACACTAGCAACTGGGCAGAATGTCACTGCCATTAACCTGGCCTGACTGATGGCCTCATATTGCGAATTTCCTTCCTGGGATGTGTGTATAGTTTAAGGATCCCTTATCTATAATGCTTGGAACCAGAAGTGTTTCAGATTTTAGATTTTTTGGATTTTTAGATTTTTTTTGGAATTTTGGAGTATTTCTGCATACATAATGAGCTATCTTGGGGACGAAACCTAAGTCTAAATACAAAATTCATTTATGCTTCAGATACACATAATCTGAAGGCAATCTTTTTTTTTTTTTTGGAACCGGGGATTGAACTCAGGAACTTGGGTTTTCAAGGTAGGCAGTGGAACTACCGAGCTAAATCCCCAGACCCTGAAGGTAATCTTTTAAATGTGCTTTAATAGTACATGTTTACAGTATGAAGGTAATCTTACACAATATTTTAAAATAAATTTGAGCAAGAAAGAATTTTTTATTTTGATTTTGGGGAGCTTTATGTTTTTGATTTTGATTTTTTTTTTTTTTTTGGTACCGGGGATCGAACTTGGGTCCCTGTGCTTGCAAGGCAGGCAGAGGAGCCACTGAGCTAAATCCCCAGCCCTTGATTTTGATTTTTTGAGGCAGTGTGTCGCTATGCAGTTCAAGATGGCCTCGAACTCACCATATGGCCCAGGCTGGCCTTGAACTTACCCCAGTCCTCCTGCCTCAGCCTCCTGAATGTGGGATTATAGGCATGCGCCAGCACACCCAGTTTATGAAATGAAGTTTTCTTGTGTGGAATTTTCCACTTGTTGTATCATGTCAGTGCTCTAGAAGTTTTTGATTTTGGATTTTTGAAATAAAGATGCTCAATTGTAGTACTATTGGGTGGAACGTTTTAGTTGACATCTGGAGTCACCAGGCAATAATAATAATAATAATAATAATAATAATAATAATAAGTCCATATGTTCTTTGGTCTCAGTGAGTAGCCTTGGGCTTCTTTTCTCTCACATGCCCCCAGGACTCAATTTCCCCATTTTTTTTTTAGTACTGGGGATTGAATCCAAGGCCTCATGTGTGCTAGGCAAGCCCTCTACCACTGGCCCTTTAAACAATTTTAAAATTTCAAGACAGGGTCTTGCTAAGTTACCCAGCCTGGACTTGAACTGGTGATTCTCCTGCCTCGGACTCCTGAGTAGCTGGGATTAGAGGTGTGCACCACCCCACTCAGGCCAGTTCCCCCAGTTTGATGTTCTCTATGCCCTGTCCCTCAGACTGGGTGTCCTGGTGGCCAGGAAGGTGGGTGGGGCCACTATCTGCGCAGGGTATTTGTTCTTCTTCTTCCAGGGCTGCCACCCTGACAAGGCCCTTGGATAAAAGGCCAGCACACCTGTGTCCTGCTTCTTCCTCTCCAACCTGGATCATGCTCCGGCTCCTTCCTGCCCTGGTGCTCCTGGGGGTGCTGGTCACTCCAGAAGGTGAGCCTTGTGGTCCCTCAGAGAGAGGGAAGGTTGCCCCAAAGTTAACCGGGTTGTGAGAATTGACTTCAGAGCATGTGCCCCAGGTCCTTCCACCCAGCTGTGGACAGTAGAGGCAGCAGCAGAATGGTTGAGAAAGAGCGGGGTTCTGGAGCCAGGCTGCCTGGGTTCAAATCCCAGCTCTGCTACTTTTTAACTGTGTGATACCAGGCAAGTAATTTAACGGCTCTGTGCTTCACTTATCCCATCCATGAAATGAAGATGGTAATGATCCTGGTGTCCATTGAATGAATGTGTTTGAGGAGCTCAGGACACTACCGGGCTGGTGATCACCCTGTATGAGGGTGAACTCTCATGGATGCCCAGGAACAACTATTAGTATGGGTCTTTGACCTTGGCTGCCTGTCTTCTCCTTGGCTGTAATTTCGCAGTCTTTGGCTTGAGGGGGAAATTAAGCGACTTGGATCCCAGCCAAGACCTCACCGTGATCTTGAGAGAGACCCTAGGCCAGCAACGGAGAACCTTTCAGAGCTTTCGGTGATAACAAACAGCTGGCTGCAGCATGCGTGTCATAGGTTTGCCACCCCCCTGCACTGAGTCCTTCTGGCTCAGTTTCCTCATCTAGAACAGGAAGTGTGAGAGGAGCTCAGCAGTTTTCACCCCGGGCTTCCTGACCCTGGAGGTTTCTTCCAAGAGCCGAGATGAGGGCTGGCTGGGAGGTGCAGTTCCACCTTTGCCTGCTCAGCTCTGGGCTCTGGAGCCTCTGGGGGAGACCTGGCTCCAGCAGCTGCCACTCAGAGACCCAGAGAGTCCCATTTCCACCCTTTCACAGTGGGGAGCCGCCCACCAGACGCGCTTCTCTGGGAAAATGTTCCTTGATCTCCCAACCACCCTCCCTCCCGCTGCAGCCCCTCATCCTGCCTTGAGTCCCACATGTGTGTGCGTGTGTGAGCACACATGTGTGTACATGTGCATACATGCATGTGCATGAGCTCTTTCTGCTCCCTCCTCGAACTACAGGGTCTGATCCCTCCTCTCTCTCCACAGGGACCTCCAAGACCTGTCCAGCCTGTGCTTCGCCAGGTCACTGCAGGGACATCCTCTGTCCTTCAGCCCAGGACTCCTGCCTGCTCAGCCAGATGCAGCTGGGTAGGGGACAGGACAGGGAGGGCAGCGGGAGGACAAAGGGAGCGGGCAGGGCTAGGGCTCAGGGCTGCACACCCAGCCTCACAACTGGACTGGGTGCTGCTGTGAGGCATGGGTGCTGGACTGGGTGCTTATAGAGCCCTATGGACCTCTTGGGGTCACCACGGAGGGGCAGGGGCCAGGAGAGTTTGGGAAGGGGCCCTAATGTCCGCTCCTGGCCTCATCCCTAGAAAATGGGACTGTGGTGGACAGCGGATCATGTGTGGCCCCTGGGCGGTGCCGGGAAAGCATCACCACCCTGACCTACGGCCCCAACTCCACGCTCTGGGTCAGCACCGCCTGCTGTGCAAACAGCTGCAGCATCACTGGGCCACCACAAGGTTTGTCTGCAGCGGGACCTGGGGGGGCATCGAGCACCCGGGTCGGGGCCAGGGGACTGGGCTTGGAGCTCTTGCCATGCAGCTTTCTCTCTAGCTGATTGGGATGAGAAAAAGAACTTTAATGCCTATAATACCAGCACCATGGGAGGCTGAGTCAGGAGCATCATAAGTTTGAGCCTGGCTTGGGCAATTTAGCAATTTAGCAAAACTGTGTCTCAAAAAATATATATATATAATTTTTTTGGGGGGGTCCCGGGGATTGAACTCGGGTCCTTGTGCTTGTGTAGCAGGCAGTGAAACCACTGAGCTAAATCCCCGGCCCCTATATATATAAACTTTTAAAAGCAGGAACTGGGGATACAGTTCAATGCAAAAACTCTGGGTTGGACATACAGACACACACACACCTGTTTTCTCATCTGGAAAATGGTGTTTTATGGGGCTGTATTCCCTTGCTTGGCACACAGTGGCACTCTGTATTTTGTAGCTGTGGCTATTGAATTCCTGGGGGTGGGGAGAAGCCCAGAACTCTTCTTCTCTCCTTGGCACCTCTTCTTCATATGCCCTCAAGGCTGGTCGGGCAGAACAAGAGTGTGTTGGGTGCTGACAGGGCCAGGTCCGGGGTGAGCCCAGCCAAGGCCTAGGGTGTCAAAGTTAAAGAGGTACTAAGCCATAGTGCTGGCTGCTTGCCTGCTTAACCCTGAGGGTGAGGCCTCCTTAGCTTTTGTGACCTTGGGGTCAACCTAGACCAGGCCTTGGGTGGTGATCAAGATAATTTTTTGATGCATGGTTATTTCTTCAAGGAAGGAATTTGTATTTGGCAGAGGTAGCAAGGGGAGATCCAGCACTTGGGTACTAAACATCCTTTTAAACAACTGCAATTTCCCTCTTAAATTGTGGATCTCAACAAGCTGACACCTGAGCATGCTCTTCAATACATAAAATGCCAGTTAGGATAATAATTGCATTAAGAAAACTCTATGATGAAAGATTGAAGGGAGCACATCAAAATATGTCTACTAATTTGGTAGAGGGTTTATGGCAGCACTGTCCAATAGAAATCTAACATAAGACATATATATCAGTAAAGCTCCTCTTACAGTCACGTTAAAAATAATCTAATAAATTTAAATGAAATATTTTATTTAAGGAATGCAGCTAAAATATTAACATTTCAACATGTATGTGTTAGTCAGGTTCCTGTTACTATAACAAATCCCTGAGATTTATAGATCCCAATCAATTTATAGAGAGAAAAGGTTTATTTTGGCTCACAGTTTTGGAGATTCCAGTCCAGGACTGGTTGGGCTCATAGCTTTTGGGCCTGTGACAGGCGAGGCAGCACATTATAGTGGGAGTGCAAGGCACAGCAAAGCCATTCACCTCATGGTGAGCAGGAAGCAAAAGAGAGCAAGTGGAAGGAACTGGAGACCCACAGTCCCCTTCCAGGCCCTGCCCCCAGTGACCTAAAGATTTCCTGCTAGGCCCCACCTCTTAAAGGTTCCACTACCTCTCAATGGTGCCAAACCAGAGACCAAGCCTTGAACATATGTGCCTTTTGTGAACACATCAGGCTCAAACTAAAGCAATGTATATAATCAATATAGATTTTTTTTTTTGAGACAGGTCTTGGCTGGGCTTGAACTCATTGTGTAGCCCAGGCTGGCCTCAAACTCTCGGCAATCCTCCTGCCTCAGCCTTCCGAGTGCTGGGATTACAGGCATGTGCCACTACACCCAGCTAATATAGAATTATTGATGAGATATCTTATATCATTTTTTCATGCTAAGCCTTTGAAATCTACGCAAAGATTTTATACTCACAGCACCTCTCAAGGGAAATCTGCCATGCTTCAAGGGCTCTAGATCCATCTGTGCCAGTGGGCATGTTTTAGACAGCACATCACTATTTAATGTTTTCTTTAGTTGACTTCTCTGAAGCTGCTAGTGTTTCAATGTGAGTTCAATTTTGGACAGGGTCTTGTTATGTTGTCCAGGCTACAAGTTGCAAAGGCTAGCACTGGACTTATGATCCTCCTGCCTCAGCCTCCTGAATGCTGAGATTATAGGCATGGACCACCATGCCCAGCTTATGACTGAGTTTTGACTCAGGGAAAATATACTTATGTGGCTTCCTCTTAAATGTTTCAGATCTCTGGAGAAACTCTCAAAATTAATCAGACAATACCAAAAAAAACCCCCAACAAAATTAATCAGGCAAAGATAAACCTGGAAGGCAGAGTTCTGCTCTTTTGCAGAATATTACAGCATCTTAAACCTAAAAGAACAGAATCTCTTTGTAATCACTTTTGGAGTTCAAGGTCTCTAAGGGTGGTCTTTTATCTGTGCGATCACTGCTGTCTCCAGGACCTAGAAGAAGGCTTGATACACAGTTGGTGCTCAGGAAATGTTTGTGGAATGAATAAAAGAACCCTGAGGATACAGCCTGGTGGTTTCTTTAGGACAAATGAGCTGCTCTGCTTGTTGCTTCTCAGAATAAGTCTTCAGGGATTGAAAGGAGGCAGCTGACATCAAGCTGGTCGCACTTTGGTGACAAATGATATGGATTGTTCTGGGGCCAGGTGGAGGCAGGGAAAGCAGAAGGCAGGAGAACAGAGGGCTGGTGGGGAAGGAGGGCTGCGAGGGGGATCCTCAGCCTCCATCGCACTCTGACTACTTCCATCCCACCAGAGCCAGGCCCCGAGGCCAACCATGTGACATGTCAATACTGTTCTGGGAATAAGTCGGCCCCATGTGACTCCCTTTCGGTCATGAACTGCACGGGGAACCAGACCAAGTGTGTCACCCTCAACGGGACATGGAGTGGAGGTAAGGGCTCCCTTCAGGAGGTCATTTGCATAGCAAACCTCCCTCCGCTTTGCACCAATACATGTTAAGATTTCTTTGTATATGTGTTCTGTTACGCCCTTGCTATTCAACAAATCACCTGCAAACTTTGTGCCTGAAGATGACAATCATTTAATTTAATTTAATTTAATTTATTTATTTATTTTTGGTACCGGGGATTGAACTCAGGACCTTGAACTTTTGAGGGAGTCAGCGGCACCACTGAGCTAAATCACAGACCCAACAATCATTTTTTATTTTTAGTTTCTGTGGGTTGGGGAGTCAGGAAGAACTCAGGCACACAGTTCTGGGTTCCTCATGTGTTTGCAGTTGGAGGGTGGCCAATGCTGGGGCTGCAGAACTAAGAGCAGCCAGGCTGAGCATCTCTCAGTCATGAGTCTTGGGCTCTTCCCTGTTGTGTTGCCGCATGGGCTAGGTTGGGCTCCCTTATATCATGGCGGGCTCAGGGTCCTTTCCATGGTAGCTGAAGACTCCATCCAGCAAACAAGGTGGCAACTGCCTGGATGTTTATGACCAAGCCTCGGAAGTCACATACTGTTACTTCTTCCATGGTGTATTGATTAAAAGGCTCATAAAAGTCCATCTGGTTTCAAGGAATTGGTGGGGAGAAAAGGCACCAATGCCACCTGTTGATGTTTCTGAGAATTCACGGAAGTATTTAAAAATCACCACCATGTGTTTGCAAATGGTAGAGGCAGAGCCTTTTTCAGCAAAGGCTTATGATAGAACCATCCTGGCCAGAGGATGGACTATTTCTCAAGCCACCACAGGAACAGAAAGAAGTGGCCTAGGCTTCTACTGCCGGCAGTATGGGAGACTACATTCTCTATAGGATTTTCCTGCTCTAAACAGTGGCAGACTTGAAAGTGCTGGGGAAAGGGTTCCCTCCAGGCAGGAATGAGTATTATTACATTACTGGCATTATTCAGAATTGCTGGTTCATGGTGATAATAAAGACCAGATTGACTTTAAGTTGATACTGATATTTTTTTTCAGAGACAATACAGGCAATACATCTCTTTACAGCCCGCTTTCACAATGGGTTGCTCCCACTAGCCACCCTCCCCAGCTTGGCATGTCACTGTTTAAGGTGAACTAAATCTTTACAAAAAGTATTTTTCCCATGCTGTTTGGAGCATTGGGGAAGTTAGGCAAATGCCCAAGTGTTCCTAGAAAAAAAAAATGTGAGCAGAAATTGGAGCAAGAGCAATGAACAATAACAATAGGAAAGTCAGAGTGGCCAGGAGAACAAAGGCCGATGGCAACCTGGTCTGGGTAGATAGGTCTTAGGACAGCAGCGTGGCTGGGAAGCTGATCCCTAGATTCACACAGAAGCCAGGGACCTTGGAAGGAAGCTGAAAAGATCCCAGCTTGGCAGCACCACCTGAATCTCTGTTGAGGCAAAAGCAAATTCTCTCAGGGAAAAAAGCTTCCAGGATTCCCTCAGCTCATCAACCAAATACGAGCTCTCAATCAGCTCATGAAATGCACAAGGAAACAAGCACCATGAGTGAGAGCAGAAACCACAGCCACAGATGCTGAGCTGTGAGGAGCTCAGCTATAGCAGTCATCAGCTATAGAACATAATCTACCTCCATGCAATATATTTGAAGGCATAAAGTTAGAACCACAAAATAAATAAATAAATAAATAAATAAATAAATAAATAAATAAGAAAGAGCAGGCAGGTTGTAGAATATGGTAAGGCAGATTTGGAAATGGATCATATAGAACTCGGCAAGGGATGAGAGCATTCAGACAGAAAAAGAGAGATATCAATGTGGGAGCCTTGAGCTCTGAGCCTCTCCCTACAGCTTCTCCTTTTTCTTCAGGGAACCCCCAAATCCTGAAGGGCTGTGCTACACCAGACGTCTGCCACCTGCGAGTGAATGACACCCTGGGCCCAGAGGCATCTGGATTCCGCCTCACCTCACAGCCTGGTTGCAACCCTTCTCCCACACAACCAGGCGCTCTTCTGGAAGGTCAACCTACAACCTTCCCTGGGTCTCCTGTGCTCTTTTGTTTTTTTTTTTTTTTTTTGGTACCCGGGATCGAACTCGGGACCTTGCGCTTTCGAGGCAGGCAGCAACACCACTGAGCTAAATCCCTGGTCTTCCTATGCTTTTCCAACCCTGTATTCCCAGGGAACCCTGTCCCCCACCCTACACAAAGGAGTACATTTACCCAGAATCACCATAGCACCTGACACAATCAGAAGCAGAAAATCCTTTGGCACATATCCACGATTGAATGATTGGTTGATCAATGGTTGATTGCAGTGCTGAGGATCGAATCCAGGCCCCTCACAATGAGTTCCATTCCCCAGTCCTTCCTTTTTATTTTTATTTTTTTTACTTTTTAGACAGGGTCTTGCTAAGTTGTGAAATTGCCCAGGCTGGGCTCAAACTTATGACCCTTCTGCCTCAGCCTCCCAGAGTGCTGGGATTCCAGGCTTGGCAGCAATGCGATCGATGAAGCACCCTCACTCTGTCCCAACATCTGCCATGCATCTGCAGAGGCGAGGGAATTTCAAACAGGAACATCCTTTGGTGTAAGTAAGATTAGAGATTCAAACTCAGTTTAAGGAAGAAATCTGATGGTTTTTTCTTCTCTTCACTACCTTGCTTGTGGAAGAAGACAGGTTTCCCAATAGTCTTTTGGATTACCAAAGAACATGCCCAACAACTTTTTTCTTCCAGAAAAGAGACATGCTAATTGGAAGAGTATTTCCTGGGGCAACAGTTTATTAAGTGATTTCAACCGAACAGAATTATCAAAGTCTTAGAGGTGAGAAAGGCACTTTTCCCTGGACAGAGCAGCATCCTCCCAGCTCTCAGCTCCAGCAGTGTGAAGGTGCCTTTTCTAGAATTTTCTCAGCAAAGACCATTCTGTGATGCAGAGCAGGATCTGCTTGCTGAGCCTCCAGGGAAAAAAGGAACATTCTCGCCTCCACTTTCTCAAATTCCCAGCTGCTGACAGGTTTACTTTGGTGGGTTTTGTGTTTTTTTGTACCAGGGATCAAACTCAGTACCTTGTGCTTTCAAGGCAGGCGGCAGAACCACTGAGCTAAATCCCCAGCCCTCTAATAGATTTACTTTTTGAAACTATGCAGTGGATTAAATTAATTATCACAATGAAGGAAAATAAAAAGGCAGATTGGGAGCTTGAAATTTACCATATGGAAAGGAAAAGGGCAAGATAAGATTGCCGGCCGTGGGAACATGGAACGTGGAATTGTTGCATGTATAGTTCCTATGGACACAGACATGTAAAGTGGCCACACATGAACACATTGATTCTCACATCCAAGTTCAGGGCCTGTAGGCACACACAAACACACAGCAGCAGAAACTATACATAGGCATTACTGACATCCACAAACATCCCCAGCCATACGCCAACACATCCAAGTGCCCTGAACTCTGCTGGAAAAAGACATACAAGCCACAGACACACACAGACCCACAGCACCAGTCTTAAACACATACATCTGTTCATGCCCATTTGCATTTTGTAGACACCTTTCCATGAGGGCCCACAGGAGTACACACACACACACCTTTATCCCCTCACAGACAGCTTCAGAAACAGACAATTCAACACGGACGCACACAGCCAGATGTGCACCCCAAGACACAGCCCCGCATCCTCTGCCCTGCTGCGAACAGTGTCACTGCAGGAGGGCAAACACAAGAACACTTTCGCACATTCAAGGGCAACACTGATGTGCCCAGAAACTTGCATGCATGCCCATGAGCAAACACACACATTCACACACTCTGGTTATCTTTCTCTCTCTCTCCAGGTCCCCATGCAGCTGTGACCCACACCAACCCAAAGCCCACCATCTGTTTCACCTGCTCGGACCTCCAGCACTGCGACCCTCTCCCCTGTCCAGAGGACAGAAACTACTGCCTTCAGACAGCAGGCATCACCGGTGAGTGCCCATGGGGACAGAAACAGGACCCGAAGTGCAGCAAGACCTCTCCTTGTCCTCCTCCCACGTTTGTGGCCTCAACTTTTCCTGGCCACGCAGGACAGAATTTCTACTCTATACCGTGAAAGCCAGTGACATGTTTTAGTTATTGCTAAATAACGATCAGCTCAAAACTTAATGACTTCCCCAATCACAAAAGGGCAGATACTGTTTGATTTCACTTAGATGAGACATCTGCAGTAGTCAAAATCATGAAACAGAAATAAGAAGAGTGATTGTCAGGGGTTGGGGAAGAAGGGAACGAGATGTTTGATGGGCATAGGAAGCGAAGCAGATTCCACCTCTGGATAAGGGAGTGGCGAAGTCATGCTTCACAAGAGCATGGGGGATGGGAAGTACAGTTGTGGTCACCTTTGTATCTATGGCACCATGCTGGGCAGGGAGCCCCCTCAAGCCCTGTCCATCTGCCTCGTACATGGGAAAATGACTCTTCTGTAAATGGCAGTAGAGCTGAACTTGAAACCAGACCTTGGTTGCCTTCCAGCAGCACAAACAGGAATAGTAAAGGTACCAGGGCACCAGGCTCCAGTGCTGGGCATTTCTGGTGCCCACAGAAGTGTTTGGCAAACCTCACAAGGTGCTCATAGGCAGGTTGGGGAGACCTCGCAGGCACAGAGGTCACACTGTGCTCACTGGGACCCTGAGGGACAGGTAGGGTGTCAAAAAAGGTTTTCTAAAACATGTCTTCCTGAGCAATGACCAGCTTCGGATGAGTTCCAGGGGCATCTCAGGCAGAGTGAATGCCAACAGAGTGACATCTAGAGGGATCTGGGGAGGTCCCACTGGGCAGTGGGCTGTGGTTGCCTTCCTCATCAGCCTGCCCTCCACATCTCTCCAGCCTTTGGGGATGGGAATTCCTTCTCCTGGAGAAATGGTTCCTGCGTGGCCTCTACGGACTGCACATTGAGCAACTCCATCTCTGGCTTGACCTATGGCATCGGCCTTGGCTTCTGGGTCAACACCACCTGTTGCCAAGGCAACTGCCAGGAGCCCACCCGGCTTGGTACGTTGCCTCCAGAAAGTAGGGCAATGGTGGCTGAGGAGGTGGTGGGGTGACTTTGGAGGTGAGCTTGTCCTCAGTTGAGGAAGGAAAGTGGACAGGGAGATCCTTCAACCCCATTTCCAACCAGGTTCCCCTAAGTCACCCTGACCCCAGCTCAGCAGGAAGCCTCAAGTCATTCCCCTGTGGCCATATCTGAGTGCACCGAGGGCCTGGGAGGTCCTGAAAGTCCCCCTGGTTGACCTTCACCTTGCCCTGTACAGCAACTCTGCCGGCCTCACGCACCTTGACCAAGTTCCTGTGTCCTACGTGCCCCAAGGACCAGTCTGGCTCCTGCCGCTCCTCCTTCTACCTTCAGTGTCCCCGTGGGGAGACCCAGTGTGTCCAGCTGGACCTGACATTGGATGAAGGTAATGGGAGCAGTATATGTGCACTGTGAGTGTGTGTGTGTGTGTGTGTGTGTGTGTGTGCGCCCACATGTGTGCACAAGTGAGCCCGAGCATACTGGTTTCTGGATAAAGACCCACCTGAGTTTGGGGCCTCACCTCCCTTATTTTCTCTGTGTGGCCCAAAGCAGCAAATTTATCTTTTTGAGCCTCAGTTTTCTCTCTGGTAAATGGGGATGGTGGACACACACTCACAGGTTTCTGTGGGGACAAAGTAAGCTCAGGAGAGAAGCAATAGAGTAGAAGGCATAAGAGCAGGACTCCACAGCCAAGCTGCTCAGGTTCAAATCCTGGATTCAACACTTACATGCTGGGTGACCTTGGGCAGGTGACTGCCTCTCTGTGCCTCAATTTTTCCATCTGACATAGTGGAAAATAATAGCCTCTAAGTCATAAGACTGCTGTGAGAATTAGACAATCCATTAGACTTCTAAATGAGTGCTTTCTGAAAACAGTATGTGATTCACATGTATAATTTTTTTTTTAATTGGTATCGGGGATCAAACTCAGGACCTTGCACTTGCGAGGCAGGCGGCAGAATTACTAAGCTAAATCCCCGGCCCTACATGTATAATTTAAAGTTTTCACAGCCAGATGTGGTGGCAGATGCTTGGAATTCCAAGAGAAGCTGAGGCAGGAGGATTGCCACCAGTTCAAGACCAGCCTGGACTACATAATGAGTTCAAGGGCAGCCTGAGCTACATAGCAAGGCCTTGTCTCAAAAAAAAAAAAA